GACGACGAGATCATTAGCACACAGTGAACGGTAACGTAATGGAATCCGCATCACGGCTTCCTATCGCCCATGTGTGGTATCCCAGGAAGAAATGACGCTGCCTTTATTGGGAATTTCTGGCAGCAGAACTGGCTAGCTTTAGCGACAAGCACACGGTGGGCGCATTACATGAAGAAGTCCTTACTAAAGAGCACTTGATGCGGTAAACAAGCGTCACTTGCATACCTGACCAAAGGTTGCGAGCAAAGGTGAGGTTGTCGATTGCATCCTGTCAGGGTGGTGAAGAAATATTGATAGTTCAGCTTATCCGTCAACTTTGGAGACTCATAATTTGATAAATTATTACAAATGATAATTTAGCACAGGTTTCAATAACATCAATTAAAAAAAGGAATGCCTAATCGGCAGACATCACACTTTGACGTGATCCGTCAGCACTGAAAATTTGTCAAGACACAACTGCAGCTTTGTCTTAACCAGGAGGAACAGGCAATCTAAACCGTTCCTCTCATACGCCACATGTGCATTTGCTTGAAGTGCAGATGTGTGGAGACAGCTGCCGGATAGTCGCCAACGCGATAGCAACGGACATGTGGCGTATACCATTTGACATGTGACGTACCATTTCTTTCTTTCTTTCTTTCTTTCTTTCTTTCTTTCTTTCTTTCTTTCTTTCTTTCTTTCTTTCTTTCTTTCTTTCTTTCTTTCTTTCTTTCTTTCTTTCTCGCTTTCTTTCTTTCCTTCTTTCTTTTTCTTTCCTTCTTTCTTTCTTTCTTTTCTTTTTTTATTTATTTACCTATTTATTTATTTGCGTGCCACCATGATTACCAGCGATATTTATAAGCTGAGTGTTGCCAACGCCAATTTGTTAATCGCGGGAGGCCTACGTCAAAGATATGCCAACATGTTTGGAGTTTGTTTTGACGGTCCCACCAGACACACAGTGTTGGGTCCTTGTCCACTACGAAGAGTAACTTTGCCAAAGTTTTGATTATGCCTAATCATGAGCACCGAAATGAACTACGCTCACTGGCGTAGGTTCACGCCTCATTGAACGAACTCAAGATTCGGTACATAGCGTGATGGCTGCTCGGCAGTAACTTGAGTTGCTTTTGTTCTGCCGTAAATGAGTCAGAATCAAGCAATGCTCTCAACGAACACACGTGCTTCCCTGTGTCACTCAACAGGGCAGGTGGGCAGCCACCAATTTTTTCTTTCGAGTGTGTGGGAGGGGTTCAACTATACCTCACGTATGTTCATGCGCGTTTGTACGCGCACCACGCATATACACGCATGCTAAATGAAAACAAAATGAGGGGGAGGGGGGTCTTGAACCAGTTACGTCCATGCTACAGGGTGATAAAAAATAATAAGCTTGACGACTTTCTGTAACTTTGGCACGGTAAGTGAAGGTTCCCTATACAAATACGTTCGCTGTCAGCGGCCCAATCAACTAAGACTGAATAATGAACGCTATAGTAATTGTATTAGGCGGGCAAGCTTGTGTTGAAAATTTACAGGCAGGCGCGTTTCTACACAGTTCCATTTCGAGGAGTTCTAAAAGGTATGCATGTGCTCGGAGATAGTCGGCCGCTAAGTTTAATTCCTATTCGCATGACTACGAATGCAGCTCAGTGAGGAGTGGCACAGTGTTCCTTCGTGATGTGGCGAGCAGACATTGCTTCCTATTGACACTAAAACGGTAGCTGTTGTATATATTTTTTTTGGGCCTTCGACCCATTGTCTGCTTAAACGCAGCACACAGCACAGCAATGAGGAGAGAGAGAGAGAAAGGAACGCCGGGAAATTAACCAGATATTGGCCTCCGGTTCGGTACCCAGCACTGGGGGTGAGGAAATAGAGGCAAGAAAGAGGGGGTAGATTTGGACCAGTATTCACTGTCTCGCGTGCGTAATTATGCGAAGCACAATTAAACTTTGCAACAGCAAAGCTCAGAAAATGGACAAGCTAGACGAATTATTGCGAATTTAACTGTAGGGAAACACCACTGGCTATAACATTTTGGTACCAACTTCCCCACTTACTGCAAGCGCTAGAACGTTTATCATACAAAATCAGTTGAGTGGGCCGATACAGGCACCACAATTATCCTCTGACATTTTGCCTGGGTACCTAACTTAAATGCAAAGGTGGGCTTCATGTACCTTCCTATGGTGAATAAAAAACGTTTAAAGCCTGATTTTGATCACCCTGGAGAGAGATCTTTTGAACCTTCAAGACAAGTCGGGCTTCGCGCACATTGAATTAGGACGCATAAGCTACAATAACAAGCTACAGCATGTTTCATAGATCCTTTGATGTTCTGACGATGTAGCTTTGTTCAGACGCAGTAATATTTTTACGCAAGTCTCAACAAAGCTAATGCAAGCAAATGCTTTTATGCATAGCCAGTCTCGGCACATCCGAGCGATACCTTCAGCGCGCCCTTCAGTGGCATGCAGAAAAGCTAGGCCATATCTGCACTGTACTAAAAACGGTTTACATGGGACCCATGTCCAGACTATCTACCAATTGGTTTGGATTGATGGCAAGTATAGGTATCGCATAAAATGAAAAAGAACGCATCCATAACGACGATGATTCGTCTTTATGCTACGCAAGATGTCATTTTGGCAGTAAGGAAGCACTGACTTACGATCAGACAATTACATGTGACGGAGTGACCCCGCGAAGAAACCTTTCGTTCTAGAGCGGTGTTTGGTGTGTTATTACTGGAAGTTATATAACGCTGGAATTTCAGTCGCCAACTGATCCCAAATGTACGTTTAGATTGAAATTCTCTGATAGTGTTCAACTTTCTCACTTTGTATGATTACGCAATGCAATTGAGTAAATAACAGAAGGACGAGAAAGTAGAGAAGTAAACTATATAAACTCGTGTATTGTATGTTTCCCTTACACTGGTAAAATGACGAAAGAAAGAAGTGGGGGGGAGAGATCGCCGTCGACAGGAATGTGCGATGCGAGTAGCGATGTGGGCGACTTGATTTGTGGGTGCAAATAATCAGCGCGAAGGAAGGCAAAGAAGTATTCATAACTCTTTCGCTTCTTCAGTCTTCCCCTTGCCTGTATTTCCACAGTGCAGTGGTTCGCGCTGCTCATTTTCACCATGTCTCTGCTGCGATCATTCACAATTTTGTTGTCCCAAGTCTCCGAACATAGTATTATTGTCGTATGAAATTCGTTACCGCACCACACAGAAAAGTAGTGCTGTGGGATAACCATGCAGGCCATCAACGATGTTTTTTTTTATCATAGACATACATAGGTGTATATGTATGTACATATACGTGTATATGTATATACATGAGTATATATATATGCCTACATATGTGGGTGTATTGACAAAAAGCAGTTTGCTATGCAATCAGAATTATAATCTAGCTTTCCCATCATGCAACTTCTAGTAAGAAGCAAGGCAAAGTCCAGCATGGAAAACATGTTAAGTAATGAAACATATACAATATCGGCTTTGGTATTTTCTTCTTGATTAGGTTATTTCACGCTGTACAGGTTTGTCAGTATGCGACTCTCTCTCTCTGTGCTTTACTTGCTTTCCTGCTAATCCCAATGTGTCGACAAAAAGTGATAATGTTGACCGATAGCGAATCATGTATGATAACAAACATAAGCTGTCCAAGAGAAGAGATATGAAACAGAGCTGGTTAGCTCAAGTCGTGGTTCGATTGTTTAGCAGCAATCAAATGGAGGCACAAACAGGGTGCCAGAAAGACAACAAACACCAATATACGGGCCTTCACTGAAGTGTCCACGCTCGTATTAAAATAAATAAGAGCATGTGTGCAGGTCAGACTCGAAAACAATCCTTTTTAAACAGAATAAATGGCAAGAAATGAGTTAATGCCAACGTACCAGCTGCAGAACACAAAAGAGGCGAGCATTATTCTAGACAATGTCTCAGACAGATTTAAAAAGGTGCTGCTGAGCCTTAAAAGACAAAACAACAACAACAAATAAGCACGTCCTGGTTGCGCAACATTCGGGGATGGCATAGCGCGCTTTCAAGGCTGTCTATTGGAACGTATCCTACTAGTCTTTCCATTTATTGTTTTATTGCGTAGTTCACACGGCTTATGACCCCTGCCTTAAAAAACTGCCTGGACAGACACTTTCTCGGAATAACCTCTCTGCCCCCTCCCCGCTCTTTTTTTTTAATTTTAGAGCTATGTTTTTCTTAGATATTGAAACTGTTACATAGACAGTAGACGATTTATACTGAGTACAAGATGCCAATTACAAGTGACATTTTAAGGAGAGTTACGAACATCTGTGCGGCTGTAAAGCGACGCGTTCCACAGCGTACTCCAAATTCATCCAAGTCTGAAGCAGGCTGCCGAGCCACATAATTTGCTTCGTCACAGTGCACCACCCACCGGTATTCAATGTAAGACTAACCGCAGGTCAGCGCAACTGACCACGTCGTGATTCCTAAAGCCTGGTTGGCCGCTGACAGTCTCCGCAACAAAATATGCGCTCCCTAGGCGCAGTGTATACGAGATGAATGATGACATAACTTTAACCGAGCTTGAAAGAACGAAAGAATGGAAGTAAGAAAACTACAACTCGCTTTATATATATATATATATATATATATATATATATATATATATATAATATATATATATATATATATATATATATATATATATATATATATATATATATATATATATATATATATATATATATATATATATATATATTATATAGTAGACTTATGCGGGGGGTTCGACCAGCTGTTATGCTCCGCAAGTAGCTTACTTTTGGCGTTCGCAATCCTTAGGTAATCCGCAAAAAAAATCAAGTCAAACAGTCGGTTGGCTGTACTTAATGAAGGCAAGAAATACATCTCCCAACTTCGGGAAGCAAATACAACTTGCAGAGAAACTGGCGCTTCGCCGGCCTGACAATGCCTGCCTCGATACAAGTCCACTGCACGCACTTCGAAGTATACGCACGTGGGTCAAACGTGAGCGGAGGGCTGTTCGAGGGAGAGTGTCCCGGAGTGGCAGGCAGCAGCGCCGAATCGAGGGAGCCGTCGCCGGCCGCAGGTGCATACCGGGCACGAGGCCTCGAGCCGAGAGGCGGCCGGTCGCGTGAACCACGGCGCCCGACGCGTGTGTGCGCGAGCAGCAGCGCGCGCGCGATGCCGCGCGTCTGTGCGTGCTTTACGAACGGGAGAGAGCAACCAGATGCGGCGCGTGTGTACTACCTGGGGGAGGGCAGCTGCACGCGCTCGCAACAGCTGGGCGCTTCGCCCGCGCGTCAGCTCTGGCAGCACCCGACGGCGTGCCGCGCTCAGGTGCTCGCGAGGAGAACTCAGGTGCTCCACCTCGCGACTAGCCCCCCCCCCCCCCCCCCCACCCCGAGACGAGCGACACAAAGCCACGCTCTCTCGTTTTCTACCTCGCAAGAACCACGTTGTGTGTGTGGAGGAGCGACGAAAGGGAATCTGTGTGCGCATGGATCCGTCGGACGCCGTTTCCCCTTGTGTAGCAGGACAAACGAGATCGATACGCTGTTTCTTTTTTTTTTCTGCTTCTCTCGTTGTACTGAGGCACGCCATCCGGTGGGTGGAAATGGCAATCCGAGAGGTTTCTCTTGTACGGAATGGAATTTAGAGGATGTAATGCTGGCTGACGTTCATAACACATTGTACACATTGAGCTATACATTTGGTGGAGGCTTTCCGCTGCTGAGATGCGCTTCTCCAATGCTGATATCGCACATATTGTCAGCGCCGAGCAAGAGCGAAATACCGGTGGGACGGAAGTAAGTGCCCTAGACCTGAACGAATCCAAATAGCATTACGAATCATTTTACGAAAGACAAGTCGCTGGTTATGAAAAAAAAAAAATCCTGGGGAAACTGTAGGGAAGAAGCTTAGAGACGCAGCCAACAAGCCCAACACTTGCACTTAGATTGTGGTTTGCTCAAATGTGCCATGTGACCCTCGATAAATGCTCACCGCATATGTTCACAAAGTGGGACGTGCACCCTTCGGTTCGGCACACCATTTTAAAATCCGCGCAGAAAAAGTGTAGACGCTAAACTATGCGCCACAACGAATCGAAAAAGTAGCCCGGCGCGGAGCATTGAGGTTCTATCAAGTCGGCAGCGGGTACAACGGAGTCGATATATCCAAGGCACCTTGATCTCTCCGGTGGTCCTGACTGTCCCGCCCAGAAGACGAGCATCAAGTTACGCTGCTAAACGTCACAGAACATTTCTTGAGATGGCCAGGCAGATGTCTATAACAAATTCATGTCGTATAGAACAATTGCGACTTCGAATCAGTAGCAGACGAAAAACGTAGAAGTTTAGGGGAAGATGGGAGCTCTGTAGAGAAGAATGTTACTCGGACCTGAGGTGTCACTGGAGTCAACGTTTTAAAAAGTGCATTCGTCTTCGTCCACGCAGGAACTGCCTACATCATCGCGTAAATCTGTACGCTACGCTCACTCTTCACAACCACCGAAGCTGAGGAGGACTGGAAGTGCGAATAAAAGCGCAGAGAGAGAGAGAATAAAAGACGGGTATTGAGACAAACCTCCGTGCTGCAGGTCTCAGGCCTGGCCGCCCACCTAATCTCGACCGCTGCATCCATGGATCCTGCCACCGATCACTGCTAGACTATTAACAGGAAGCAAATCTGCATGTGGATCTTTGATACAGTGAATCGCCGGCCCCTGTGTAAAGACAGAGTGTTTGAAAAAAATGAAAACCTCACGCTTCACCTGTAAACTCTCGTCGCCACGCACGGCTTCAAATTCTAGCTCGGAGGTGTTCACAGCAGAGTCTCCTTTCCACTGTACGATTTTTTTTAGTGAAGTGATGGGGGCGGGTCTCGACATTTTGTGCAATTGCACTTTGTTATTCGCCTTGTGTTCTTACGATGCCCGTGCAACCTAACATTGATTGGTTGCTCTGTCTTGGCAGTGTATTTACTGCTTGTGACAAAGATCCGAGCATGTAAATAACGTTTCAACTAGTGCAGGTATAAGCCTTGATTTTTTTAATGATGATTGTAGTCACTTTTATCGACTACATAAGGCCATTTCGAAGGTGTTTGCAAATCTTACATCTTGGACGACAACGAGCAACCCGGGGCTAATGAGGATTTACAGTTGCATGCACTAGCGTGATCAATAGCTAGTGCTAAATTCTTATCTGCTTCACAAGATTTATTGTAGGCATTGTTTAGCACGTTTTGCGGGTAGTTTCTTTCAACTCAAGTTGCCTTAGAATGCTTAAGTGATGAAAAAAATTACCATAGTCGCTACGGATCCTTCTTCCACGTCTTGCCTGTCTGACGTATATTTCTTGTTTGCAGCGTCGCCGGTGATGAATAGTGTAATCTGGACATTGTTAGCTATCTCTTCTACTTCTGTGGAGCATCGTCTTCAAATTTCTTCGTCCAATAGATACTGTCGTCTTGAACAAAGTAATTTCGCTGGAACAATAGTCTATATCGCCATTAATACTATAGAGTGAAACTGTTTAAACTCGTGAACGAATGTGTTTACTGCGTTTATGCCATGCTCCATTGTAATAAAAATGTCGTTTATGATACGTGCAAGACTTAAGTGGAGATGATTGCAAAAGTTTCCGACGGCACTATGATGTTAGAATTGTCCCAAGACACGGTTCACGACTGTTGGCGAAAAAAGGGCCCCAATACTAGCGCCAAAATTTGTATGTAGTACGTTGAATCAAATTGAAAGTAAGTGTAATGACTAATATTAGTAACCACAGGCAAATGTATACATTACAGGCACGTCTGCTTGCTTTCCATATAAGTCATTTCGAGACCGACTCGATCCCTTTAGTGATTAGTATATTCGTATTCAAGGAGCACACATGCATAAGGTATACGTTCCGATCCAAGACTGTTGTGGTTTACTTAACGGGATCTATAACACGAAGGAAGTGAAGTCTATGCTGAATAAAGGTTGACAGGATCGAGGGCATGCTAGACAAATGATGATTCAGGAATTAGTATATTAGAGCAGCTCAGTATAGGTGCGTAACTGTTGGACACTATAGGTCTGCTTGGCATTTGAGCGGGAATTCATCTACAGAACCTCTCATTCTACAGGAGGAGGTATATATAAGCGGCCGGCTTGTTTATTGTTAGGTACCTAGAAGCGGTACTCAAAATGTGTGATTAATTTGGTGGCTAAAACGTTCGTTAACATAGGTCGTCTGTTCGTGCTATATATTCATTAGTCGAGTTAGGTTTACTTTTACATTATTGTTTTTACTGTCATGTAGTCCTTGTTTCTATATATTTTCTAAAAGTCCTATTACTATGGTACCACACTGTCCACAGGTTTTATAATAGTTTCCTTTGTGTCCGCGAGTTGTTTAAAAACTGCTTACTCTCCGTGAGCTATGTCCTTCAGTTTTGACTCTTCGTAATTGTGCGGAGAATTTACGTTCATACTATAGTTGCACATAATCTAACTCTTGGCATTGTTCTGCCTTTGGTTCTCAACTCCTGGGGGTCGCAGAGCACCACTGCCTGCGTTTTTCTGCATCTATATACTTCGAAGGGCCCTTATAGACAACCTCTAAAAAACAAAAAGCGAGCACGTTATTCCCTTCTGGCGTTTGCCCTGTCTTCGGTAGGATACATGGCGCCAACCAGTACGTCCACGTCATGTATTGATGAAGTAAGCTCCCGATTAGTCCATGTAATGGGCATAGCAGTTGAGAATTGTCTCATACTCTGATTCGCCATGCATTCACACGCTCGTTGTGCACGGTATCGTATGACTGCATTGCGCGAACAACTGATTTCACTTCGTATTGCGCGTTTTCCACTGCGCGATCGGGGATAACACCATGTAGCCGAAAATCGCGAAATCCTTATAGGCTCCACGCTTAGAGCTGACCCCGTGTTGTATGGCGGCATAAGTAGCCGGGAGGAGAAAGCTCTAGCGGTGAAGGCGAGAAAGAAACCACTCTCGCGTCTTTGAACTCCGCGTGGTGTAGAGGCCCTTTAACAAACAAGCATTCCTTGATGCGCACATGACTTGAAAACTGAAATGTAAAAAGAAAACAAAGGGGAAATGACTGATTGATTGATTGATGATGATATGTGCCGTTTAGCGTCCTAAAACCACCATATGAATATGAGCGACGCTGTAGTGGAGGGCTCCGGAAATTTAGACCACCCAGGGTTCTTTAACGTGCATCTAAATCTGAGAACACGGATCTACAGCATTTTCGCCTCCATCAAAACTGCAGCCGCCGCAGCCGGGATTTGATCCCGCAACCTGCGGGTCAGCAGCCGAGTAAAGCCACTAGACCCCCACATCAGGGCAACAGAAGGGGGAAATAAGAAGGGCTACAGCGAGTTGAAATCAGCTTTTAGGCACCAAAAGCAGGCTATAGGATTTACGCTCAGCTTCGCTCAATAGTTGTGTGCAGATAGGGACTACAGGCTCGTATATTGTACAAGGGGAAGCTTGTGCCGACTACCGTGTCATATTTGTATACATGACAGACGCTATAATATTCATACAAGAAAACTGGTATTCCTTTTCCAAAAAAATAATGTAGTGACTCGGAAGTATATCCGTTTTTTTCTGGAGTCTGCAGCCATCATTATATAGTGTCACCCAAGTAACCACAACTGATGACTGCACAGATCGATAAGATTTTTTTTTAATGATTAGTGTTCCAGGCTTGCTACTCGAGGTACCGGTCGTTCACTGTAGAATACACTGGACATTTATATGTCATTATGACTAGGCAGGAACGATGAAACGTATATCCACCAAGTCAGACTTGACTTTGCCTTACGAACTACTACAAGTACAGAAATAAACAGTCGGACTATCCTATGTGCGCTCCAGAAGACTGGAATATGTCGTATTAGGTTCCGTTACAACGCAAGAGTGGCAGGTGCTGAAGGCAGCACTGCATTTCCAACGTGACCTTGGAGCTGCGGCACCTCTTCGGCCCGCCGCACAACACCACCTGTGCGATACGCAACATGAAATCGCTGTTGGTGTTTTTTAGTTCTACACACCCAAACTAAGCATTGCGGGTTTTTTTGTGTGTTTGTACATGCTCACGTGAGTTTGCGTAGTATTTGTGTGTATATGTGATTATTGCATAACACGTAATACCATAGTGATTATCCGACACCTGCACTTACAGATGAGCCGATAAAAAAGGGTAAAATCTGCAGGATAATTTTGATTAAAAAATGTTTTCTTTCTGGTGTAGGGGCATTGAACAAACAGTGACCGCTTGCCCCGCAAAATTTCAGTTTTATTTCCCGCAGATCTAATCAGGAAATCAGTTGGTTTAGCAGGATGAGAAATCGATTTCTGATGAATGGTGAATAAAAAAAAAACTCCAGAGTTGAGAGACAAGAAAGCGAACAGATTAGGATCATCAATACCTAGACACTGAGTCTGCTAGCGCGGTTACGGTGATAAATGTTCATTATCAGAGGCGGTAACTGGCGCTGACTTTGCTTCGGCAGGCCAGGAGAAACGACGTGGCCAAGTTTTGACAGCGGCGAGACAGACTATCTTGGTGTAACCTGTGTGGTTGTGCTGTGCGACCCGCAGCACGGACAGACGGGGCGACACCCGCGCAAGAAGGAAAGCAAATAATGCGATGGGATGTGGCTGATTGGGCACCGACAAAATAGCGGACACCGAAGGCGGAAGAGGGGCACAGCACCGTGGGAGTTCGCGCAGCAGCACGCGGTAGAAAGACGACGCGTTTCGGGGAGGAAGGGAACATTCGACAACGCCGCTGCACCCCTGCGACGCGTGAGAGCTGGAACACTTGCGTTCGACGCCGGATAACGAGAGCGCGCGGAACCAGCGCCCTCTGCGAGCGACGCATGAAAACAAAACTCGCATCCAACGAATGGCACCGCAAGCAAGCGTGCGGTTAACGCTCATATCCCAGTCACGCGAGTTCCGAGTGAAATGTAAAACGAACCGAGTCCGCGGTTTTAGCAAAGACGACCGGAGCGCTGCATACCCTCTACGTGGAACTGGCGGTGCGCTCCTTCCGTATTTCCTTGCTTTGATTTTTTTCCCCCCTTTTTTCTTATCCGCAACCCGCTTCCTTCATTACGCTTCGCGCGTGCTCCAGCTCTAGCCGAAGCGATCCGTGGTCGGACGAGCGCTGCTGCTGCGCCGTCTAAAAAACCCCTCGCGTTACGTTGAACACTTGCGCGCCCTAATGGAGTTACGTGCGGCAAGTAACGCCGGCAACCACTTTTTGCAGTATGCACGCCTCTTCAATTCTCGCACCCTTGCCTCTCCCGCCGTCGTCACGCCCGAAACTTTACTGCGCGTGCGGAAATACCGCAAACACCCGCTGCCTTTGGGGCAGAAGTGTGGCAGATGCATGCCCGTTCATGCTACGCACATGCACTTTCACACGCTCGAGCGAACGAAATAAATGCTCGGAAGGTTCTAGAATTGCTTGCGCAGCCCCCGAGTGGGTTTTTCGGCCCGAACATAGGTCCACCTTCACAACGACATCCGACGACTGCTAAATGTATGTATGTATGATGTATGTATGTATGTATGTATGTATGTATGTATGGTATGTATGTATGTATGTATG